CGGAGCAGATAAATAGTCGTTCATCAAACAGTAACACCTACCACGAGTCTGACTACCTACTCAAGCGATCAGGAGAGCTAGAGTAACAACACAACTACACATTGACCTGCATTTTTTGATGTCATGTAAAAACATATGATGGATGACACAGCAGAGCTAACTTGTAGGTTTCATTTGCGATTTCGGAGACACCATGCAAACATGACAGAGAAACACCAGAACTGTAAATGTCTCCTGTTTATAATAATATAATGCATTTGACTTGTTTCCTGAAGTCATCAATGCGGTAACATTTTGTTTTCTCCATAAGAATCAATCTGTAACAGTAATGTCATAACAACTGTTTTAGCTCTTACTCTGATTTAGATGATATTTCTGCTAAACTGTTGTCTACACAACTTGTGAAAACGATGATTTCACAAAAAAATCCGTTAACATACAGTCATAAAACGATGCACACTACATTTAAAACTAGATGTGTGAACTATTGGCTGGTTAGAGTCAACAAGCAGAAATGACCGTGAAAATGGAAGAGGCTCTGTGTCACAAATCACTTTAAAAACCCAACCGAGGGACATATTCTGAATGTGTTTATACATTTCCAAAGAATCTCTCCTAGGGGCGCGCTGGTGGCGCAATGGTTAGGGCGCGCGTCCCATGTGTTGAGACTCTCGTCTCAAGCGGTAGGCCCAGGTTCGCTTCCACCCATGGCCCCTTTCCGCATGTCATTCCCCGCTCTCTCTCCCTGGTTTCCGACTCTATCCACTGTCCTGTCTCTGTATTAAAGGCACGAAAAAGCCCCAAAAAAAATCTTTAAAAAAAAAAAAAAAGAATCTCTCCTATTTATATGCTGATCGACAATATCAGCATATCCTACATTTCTAAATCTAAAATTGCAACATTCATTGGGCCTACTTCAGAGTGTCCAAACGGCACATTCTGCATGTTTGGTTTAACTTCAGCTCTTTTCTTTTATCAACAGGATTTATATCACTGTTATCGTTTTTAACTTGTATATGATTTTATAACATTCTGTAATCTAGCTTTATTCTGTACAGCTCTTGCTGTTCAACTTGAACTTTATTTGTCCTCAGAGGGCGATTGGTTTTGCGGCAAGGCAGAACAAGACAGTAAAAAGACAAAATACAAAAGTACATCCAAAAAGCCAACACGGCAAAATGCAAGAGGCACTGCATATAGCAGCCTTCAAGAAACAACAGGGATCCTTGACTGAGGCTTTTAGCATTTTCCATTAAAGTAATCTGCTGAGTCAACGTAAAATATAAATAGGTCAGTTAAATATACATCACTATTTTTAAATGTGCTTTATATGTACTTGTATTGATTGATATAAATGTTAAAGTGGAAATTTAAATCAATTCATTTATTTGGGGAATTGAGGCATCCCTCAAACTGACCAGCTACAGGCAGTAAGTAAATATTAGCAGCGTACAGTAGACACTTTTTTGGAGATGTTGATGAAAATATGACTATGCAATCCCAATTCATTATTTCGAATATCAGTTGAGCCTTTGGTTGGGGCTTAGACCTCTGGCATGAGCTGGTGGTCAGCTGAGTGTTGGATTCATGCGGATCATCCATGATACACCCATCATCCCTCCCATGGCTCTGTGCGAGCTGAGCTCTACAAGGATGTTTACATTCCTCATCACTGATCGTGAACTTCAGTTCAGTCTTCTTGGTCTAACCATGCACACCCTCAACAAACACACCACCAAGGACATCAAACAATCCTGGAGATCTGGGAACAACTACTGACTCAGATTCCACTTTTACAACATCTGAAGGAGCCTCTCCGACTGCAAGAAAATACCCAAGAATCATCAAAAAATGTCTTCAAAAACATCGTCCCTCACAGTTTGTCCCAACATGTGTGTGTCATACAGTGCCTGGTCTCTTTTAGACTGAGTCTTTTAGCCATTCAGAGGTATGCAAAGGCTACAGCTTGATCCAATACTGGGCAGCAGACTGTCAGGCCTGACCGACAGAGAACAGGAGGAGCGTTCAAAGAAGGGAAAAGTGATGGAAGAAAATGAAGCCAGGAAAGACTGGAAGACAAAAGCAATGACAGGAGATGTTGATCACCACTTCAGTGTTGAAAATTAAAAGTGGAATAGGGACCCAAAGCATTCAGAATAAAGACAGAAGGACAGCGTGAAAGGGGAGGAGGTCTGATGTGGTTTCTGTAACACAGCAACCCAACAGATTAAAGGGCAAGGGGAGCTGGTTTGTCAAGCTCTGATAATTGAAGTAGAAGTGTGTTGGTGCACAAAATAAAGAATCAGCTATCGAATAACATTCACAAAAAATACCAACTGTTTTTGTGTTTGTGCGCTGACCCTTAGCCCGGTTCTAGACCTCTTATCGCTCCTCCCATCTGTGATATGTTCATTGATTAAAAAAAGAAAGATCAGGTGATCTGCACAATGTGCCCCCCTCTGACCCCAACACTGAGCCAATCGCAGCTTGCACAGGGGATTAAAATTGGAAAGTAATCTCCCATCTTCAGCAGAGAAATGCCATCAGAGCGTTTGCCTCTGCAATGGCAGAACAGTTACGAGTGGATTTACACAACGATTCCTGAATCCACCTCCTGAACGCAGCGCTATTCAAGCTTCTGTTTTAGCTAGCACAGCTAAGAGTGCACACATGCTATACCCTCTTTGAGTCTTTACTTATAGGCACAGTGTTGCTTTGAGCTAAGTGCTAAAAGCATGCTGGTATACTAAACAAGAAAAAGCTTCCATGCAATAAATAAATAGCTGTGATGTTTCTCATTTTCACCAGATTATTTCAGCATGACAGCAGAATAAAAATCGCTGATAGGCACAAAAAGCCCTTTTTAAGACGGTAAACACTGGGAAAATATGAGCTGATTCGGTGATTTCCCATTAGATGCACAGAGTGACTAATTTCATTGTTTATGACTTAGTTGTATCATCCTTAAATCAACCAAACGTATCAATTCAGGAGCACAATGGGGATCTGAAACACGACATTCTGTTGTGAACGTAATTGAATCCACAACACTGAGATATGTGCATGTAATAAAGGCCTGCGAAAGAGGTGGGTGATGGTACAGAGAGATAGAGAGACAGAAGGAGATCCAAGTTGTGGTTTGTAGAGAAATGGGTCAGGCCAGTGAAGAGGAGGAGGAGAGACCAGCTGAGGGAGTGACGGATAGAGAGGCAGGTCCAGACCTCATAAGCTCCACTGGAAAACCCACGATCACTAATCTGATTAATGTACAGCAACAGTTTTCCCCTGCAACCAGCCTCGGTCTTCATGGATCTACATATCGGGCACGTGGAGGCCACCACGAGTGTGAGTCTATAAGCTCCTCTGCTATTGCACGTCTGCATTCCAGCAGAGGTTCAGAGTGTACACATCAGGGCCTGGAGGCTCCAAACATCTATACACAAAAACACTCTGAGATACTTTTTTTTTTTTTTTTTGGGCTTCAGATTCTGTTTCCGTGCCAACAGCTGGCTGTGTGTTGGAGCCTGAGAGACTGCTGTGTCTCTTACTGAAATAAGAGACTCGGTTTGAAGGAGGAAAACGAAAAAAGCTCAAAAAGATGATTGCTATTGACAAAAATAAAACCTGTTCTGGTCTACTTTGAAAGCCACTATCATGCTTTGTTCAGATAGACAAGTACAAGTCCCTTAGAATGGCTACAGAGGTACTTCAGGGAATAAAATCTGTCTTAAAAAAGTTCATTGCTGCTGCAGTCTTTTAGGATAATCACTTCTTGGATGAGCTCTACCACACACTGTTTTTATTTGGCCTTGTGCCTTTTACAACGCACCACAGTGTGTGTGGCTGAGCTGCAGCTGAAGCTTCACTGAAATGCAAACAGGATGACTTCATTCTCACTGCTCCCCTCACTCCCTGGTGTCATAACAACAGCTAAACTTGCCGAGTGAAGAGTGAGGGAAAACTCTGCACAGTTAGCGTGCTGGTGCCAGAAGAATGACAGATATTGCAGCTGGATGAAGCAGCAGCCCCCAAAAAAATAGAAATCATCTGCCACCACAACCGCAGCCATTTTTGTACTACATACAAAACTCAGATAGATAGAGACAACGTAGAAAATCTGCAATCCAAGAAAGGCGGGACAAATAGACCATTGACTTGGTGCTACTGTAAGTCCTCTCACTTCATAGATTGGTCTGATATGTTTCAGTTCAGGCTCAATCACATTCAGAAGTACGCTTTTAAACTACATCAATAAATTAAGGGCATTCAAAAATTGTCAAAACAAACAAATAAAGCACCGTCATGTTTAAGAATAGGGTTTCCCGAAAGCTCTTCTGCGTCAAGGACATCTGGAGTGGCTACCAGACGAGCAGCCAACGACGTCATGAGCTCAGATTGAGGATTTGGATTCCTTTAGTTTCTGTCTTTGTGCAGGTTTCTATTGCATTTTCTGCAAAGGTCTCTTCCTCTCAGAAACAAACTAGCAGAGTGACTATTCCTAATAATACATTTTTAAAAAGCTGAACTCATTCTGGTGTACTTCTGTGTGGATTAGGGGGCTGAGAGCCGAGCTGACACTAGCAATCCTAGCCCTTAGCTATCTGCATGAACAATAAAACAAATACATTAACATTGTTTTTTATTTTTTCTATTAAGGTCTATTTATTGTTATATTTGCACCAAGTCTACTACCTGCACGTTATAAGTACTGTGCATAACGGCCATTTATATTAGGCAAAAAATGTCCAGAGTTCATCATCATTCAACATCAATATAATCACAATCCTACCCTGATCATGAACAACGCCCAGGCCGAGGTTAGTCTACATGTTGGATGCATCACACAGGAAGAACCTTCCTGAACATTAAATGCAGCGTTTCAAATCTAACAGTTTATGTTGTAATAAAGGGAGCACAGTAAGATGGTTATGAAGAGGACATGTATAACAGACACAGCACACAAACCACATGTTGCACACCACCGTGTCAGCAGAACTTACCTTATTAAAGATGAAAACAGAGATGGACAGATGTCCAAACAGAAGACACTCTGTCTCCACGGGCCTGAGAGACACAGAGGGACAGACGGGGAGAGAGAGAGAGGAAGATCCCTCAGGAGGCAAAAGCAAAAGAAGGACACAGAGAGGTTTGTTAGACAGCAGAGCAGCATGCGGTTAGATTCCCGCAGCACACCGGCAGTGTTCAGGCGGCGCTGAGCCAGTGGTCTGTTATAAGGCGCTCTGCAGGCTGGAAGGTGGCACATTCTGGGAGTGGAGGTGAAATGCCACACATGGCGCAGGGAGAGGACGGTTAATGAAACAGTCAGAGAGCAGCGGCCCCTATTAGAGAAGGTCAGAGCAGTTTGCTCACACCTCTAAAATTACCTGCCCAGGCGATGAGGTGGGAAGGGAGTGTCCCGTTTAATCCTCCGAACCGGGCAGTAAAAATAAGCTGCCAGTGCACGCATTGGTATTTTTTGCTTATTGATGGGTTATTTCTGAGGAGTTTTTAATTCCCAGAACGATCAGTCGAGACAATAAACCATATATGTTGAAAGTTTTGAACTGCATCATTAATATCAAAAATGTTTTTTTTTTCTACAGATGTTGCTGAAATATCAAACTGAACATATTTATCCAAATTATTCTGAATGTAAAAAATGAACAAAACACTATTTAACACTTGGGAAATAATTTCAACTCTTACAAAAAAAAAGTACTCTTTTTCAAGTTTGGGTCATTTTCCGTTTCAATGAGCAGATTGCTAAAACATTTAGTTAATTTAATCTGCATTAGAAATGTGGGATAATTGGGATATACTGTATAACTAAACCTGTGAAACACAACGGTCTGGCAATGATGTAAAGTATAACTTTGCTTTAATAGTTTACATTTTGGATCAAGTCTAACAGGTTGAACAACAACATACCACAGCCAGATCTGATTTCACAATGTGTTGTTTCTCAGGTCCGACAGATAAGAGATTTCTGAGGCCGATAATAGGGAGAGAAAAAATGCAGATACCAAAACAGCATATTGTGATCTTTCTTAGATCTGTCTTCGATGTTTACAGATAGCTACACACATATTGAGTTGTTTGGTCCCTCAAAGGCTTTTATCAAACACTTGTGAAAAAGATATATAATGAAGACAAGTTTGTTTACAGTTTAACAAATTCCTTTATCGGCCAGAATAACAACAGAGCACTGAAACACAAATGTTTACTTAGAAATTAGTCAAATAAAAACTACATAAAATAAATAATTAACTTAAACTGAATAAACCTGATTATATCGGCACATATCAGAGATAAAATTGGCCGATACTGATACTGTCTCCGATATCGTCAGCTGCCCGATCAATCAATCAATCAATCAATCAAGCTCTAGTTTTTTCTCTTGTACGTCAAAGAAAGATAAAATGATGATGCAAAAGACGAAGCTTTAATGTTCTGTTGCAAAAAGACTAAAAATAAGGTTATAGCGCGCCCCATGTATGGAGGCTGTAGTCCTCCAAGCGGGCGTCCCACCTGTGGCTCTTTTCCTGCATGTCATTCACCACTCTCTCTCTCTCTCCTTGATTTCTGACTCTATCCACTGTCCTAAAGACACCAAACCTTTTTAACTTTAGGATGACAACAACAAACTCAAAATGTGTTCATGAGGAAGTTAAAAGTCTGAGCTTTCTGCTGCCAGAATAAATGCTGTAGCTCTTATCGTTTGTATTTGAGATTAATTTAAGCAGGACAAAGGGAAAAACAATAACCCGCCAGAGAGAGAGGTCAGTCTCCAAGGGGTTTATAGGACCACACAAGTGACTTAGTACAAGATGATTGACTGTAAATCCTTTCATCAGTACTTCTGATCATGTTCAAAGACATGAGAGTGAACATTTTTGAAACGTTTGTTAAGATGCCAGAGCCAAGAACCCTCTCAGGCTCCATTCATAACAAACACAATGGATGCTTTCAATTAGAAAACCTGACAATGAAAAATGCAAAACCAACACAAGCTGCTTCTTAAGACATTATTAATGAATGAGAGGGCCGACAAAGCGTGCAAGAAGACATGCTTGAACAAAATCCTATCCCATTTGAGCACCAACAATTGTGCCTTAAGTACAAAATTAAGACATACATTATCCTTTTCATTTCACAGACGTAGCAGAATTTGGCCTTGTTTATATATCTCAGTTGTAATTGCCGTTCCTGTAAGCAGTTATGTCAACATTTCACACTCTGAATAATTCTGAAATTGTACTCCTCTACTTCTGGAAAAGCCTGGACAAGGACAGAACATAAAAACGAAAGCAGATCACAGAGAGGCGGAGTTCAGCAGCAGACCAGAGACTGAAAGAAAAGGACAACTCAGCCTTGTTCCCACACACACACACACACACACACACACACACACAGCTGCTCTCCCAGTTCTTCTCCAACCACAACCACATCAGTGAGGCCATGCTGCTTCTCCATGCCAGCTCTTTCAGCTCTGCACTTTGCAAAAGCAGGACTCTGGCATGGCCCAGCTTGGCACAATCTGCTGTATTGCAGTGCATCGCTCGCAGAGATTAACCCAGAACCTGCTCGGCCTGCTGTCCACATCTGACTCCAGAATGACAGACCTAAGCCCTGCTGTCTAGAAATGCAACGCAGAACACCCAGGATTTAAATAAACGGAGGAATCAGAGCTTTAAAGGGGACATATTATGAAAATCCACTTGTACAGTGTTTTTGAACATTTATTTGGGTAACCTGAGAGTCTACTGACCCACAACATGTTAATTAAACTCATCCAGTCCTTTGTTTGTGGTCTGCCTAAGTCTTACAACACAGGGGAAAATGTTCCATTTCAAATTTGCTCTCCTTGTGATGTCACAGTGGGATTCTGGTAAATAAAAAAACAACCCTCCCCTCCCCTGGTATCTCCACCCATGGACTCCACCCCCAGACTAGACCAATCTTTTGTGCAGGTCTGCCATTTTTATTCTCGCTACAGAGGAGTGATGTCTACGGGGAATACTCGCTTAAAGAGACACAAAACGGAGCGTTCTGAGAGAGCTGGTTTATACAGGGTCACAAACCTCCTCTGGTGCTTGATTCATGTTATATTTTGACCAAAGCACAGCACAGATGTTTCATTCAGACCACAGGGGGACTGTTTGAAAAGGTGGAAAAGGGAGATAATATGTCCTCTTCAATAAAAGGTTCCTAACTGCAGGTTTCTTTGGGAGTATATCTGAAACTGAAGTCAATTAACTGATCAACAGTCTGAGACTATTCGGTTCTTTTTCACGTCATTTTCAGTCAATCGTTGGATGGCCTCTCAAACGTCAGGATTTAATTTTTTACTTTATCGTACAGTGAATTATATTTAATGACACTCCGACAAAAAACCTTGCTGTCTCCTTGCTCTCAAAGAAGCAGCTGTTGGACATATTTCACAATTCTTCTTAGACAAGACAACTAATGAAGACAATAATCAACGGAGACTACATCATAGAATTAACTGAAACGATTCCTCTATGCCGGGGCGTCCTAAACTTTTCGGCCCATGACCCCCCTGAAATAGGCGCTAGAGAATGGGGACCCCCACTGTCCATGGAGGTGGTTAAAACATTTAGCGTTGTGCACAGCCAGGGCAGACTTATTGGCCTATCCAAACACTGTGATTAGAACAATTAGTTACTAAACATTAATTTCGTAACTAATTGTAAGAAGCAGAACATGAGTAATCTCTTCAGTCTTCAACTAGTTTTTTTTATTAAATATAATGGTTAAAATGTGCAATTTTTGGCTATTTTTTTTTTTTCATTCTAATATGTTTTGGAAGAATTCTCGTGACCCCTTCTCAGTGTCTTGCGACCCGACAGGAGGTCCCGACCCCCAGTTTGTCTCTCTTGATTTAATTTCTATAATCTTAAGTGACTTTTGTTCATTGTTTCAAACTTCATATTTTTGTATTCATGTAATTATGAGTCGTGTTTTAAGTCTTTTTAAAGTTGGTAAATACAAATGAGCAGCTTGTTGCACCTTGCGGGTTGCTTTTTAGCGGCTCTTTTGGGTTAATTATCACTTTCAAATGTCAAGATTTGCATACGAGATGCACATCCAGTGAGATGCCACATACAGATTATATAAACAGGAATATTTTGATGAATTGACAATGGAGTCTATTCTGCCATGGAGCCTGTATGGAGGTTGTTCCTGAATACTCTCACTGTCCCACAATGAACTGAAACCGTCAGGTGCGACTTTCTTTAGTTCTGGATTTTAATGAGCAGACGAGCGAGCCAACCAGAGAAGAGCTACAGCAGACTGTGTGGGAGTAAACGTCCTTCAGTGTTGACATATTTCATGTTTCTATGATATTCCTCTTGCCTGGCAGGATTTGAAGCCTGCAGCTGAAGCTAAGTTCCTACCTGCCCCACCCCTTCATGAATCCTGCTGTATTCCTGCTGCTTATCAGAAACTTCAAGACTCCCCGCAAAGATTATTAGCAAACAGACCACCTCTAATAATCTGAAGAAACCTTTAGTGGTTAGAGATGATTTCATAACGTTGTGTCCACTTAACACACTGCAAGCTAGCAGCAGCTTTTTAGCACTATCTAGCAACCATTAGATGCTACTGGGTTTGTCTGTTAGCGTTCAACATAAAACCTCCTGCTATATTTTATTTGTATTGAGTGTTTCCGGAGTTTCCTTCAAATTAAAGTAAAATTATCAACGTTTTTCTTTTTTTTTTTTCCCTGGCAGCGCCCACGACCTCAGTTTCAGAGCTCTTCTCACCAGCATTCACTGTTGCTAGGTTACCAAAGTTAACCTCCACTTCACTCTGTAAGGAGTCAAGGACAGCTTTGATTTAATAGCACTGTGTTCTTCATATTTGCTTTCCTACGAAAGACAGTAATGTGAAGGCATCGTGTCCTGGCATTAGCAGCAAGTTTCAACCTGGAAAATGACGAGTCAGATTAGTTTCTTCTCCAACATTGTTATTGACAAAGCCGACATCAGAAGACCCGCCTCGTCTTGATTCTGTTTGGTCAGTGAAGGAGAGGTGACACTGACGAGTGCAGTACCCTAACGTTGAACTTTTTAAAACTGAGTGCTCTGTGAACACAGCGGCAAAAAGAACAGCTGACACTGAAGTGCTCAGGATGCTGAGCGCTGAAAAACGCTGAACAGCACTTTAATTGTGTTTGGATTGATTTCTATTGTCTTTGTAATTGATTATGTCTTGTGTTTTTGAGGGACACTTCAATGTCCTTTCGAGAATAAGTAAAGGTTTCAGATTTGTTTTTGCATTGGTTTTATATTGAAAACGGCGTAAAAATAATATAAGTTCAGAAAGCTTTAATGCTACACTGACAGTACATTTTCAAATGTTCATTTAGAAAATGCAGTTATTGAATATGCAGTCATTGATCAACATAAGGTTAATATTTCTATGTTTTGGGGGCTATGCTACTGCCCCCTAGTGGTCAGAATCCCCTTTAGGCACCTTTAAAATGAACTAAAACCCTCTGGAAGATGAGAATGACCCCAATTCAGAATTTTGATGAATAAATAAAAATGTGTCAACATATTATGTGAACTCTGGGGCAACAAAACAAGCTAGCAGCATCTTATAAAATACCTGTAAGCTGACATGTGTGCAGGTGGGTTTCACCTTCAGCTTTCTGCATGGACACAAACTTCTCCTGTACTAAAATAAATATATTGTCATATTCAGGGCTATGTTTTTAAGCTTGTTTCTCCATAAATGATATAAAAAAAATGAACAAAGGGGATATCAACAATCTATATTCAAACCTGGGGAAGCTTGTAAACATTTCTGCTCACTGTGGGTTAGTTTAGCAGCCTAATGACAGTATTTCACATTTGTTGATACTCGTCGCCAAAGACACATTGGAGTTGGTAAAATTGCTCATGTTGTAAACTTAGTCGTGCATACATATAGATTTAATCGTGTTTACAAGCTTCCACAGGGTGAGCATGTGGTAGCTGCAGACAGGTGAGGTGTGTTACCTGTTTCTCTCCAACCTGGAGGAACAAAACAAGACTAAACTCCTGCAGGAGCTTCTGTCTGTCTGTCTGTCTGTCCTCGATCAGAGATTAATTCAGACGTGTCTCTTCCTCGAATAAATACAGAAAACACAGCAGCTCTTCAGTCTTTTAAGACTCGACAAACTGCGACATGTTGCAAGTTTCCTCCGCAGTCATCCGTCGGTTCCCCTCAGCCATTTATCCGATGACAAGATCCGACCCGAAGCGAAGAAATCCCCCCCACTCCTCCTCCCCGACAAAGATCGCCTCCGCTCCTCTTTGCTCTCGCTTCGGTTTAAAAAAAAAGTTTTTAATTCCCAAAGTGAAATGTTGAGAAACAACGAGAAATGTTTGTGTTCTTCTGAAGGGGTTAAGAAGCAGTTTCGGCTGGTAGATAATACGTGTCGTCCCCCCTCCGGTGCCTACTGGCGTCTGTGTGTAATCAGATGCTGCTCAGCCACAATATCCATTCATCCTATTACACAGGTTAACCCTTCACTGTCTGCTGCGCGGCTCTATGCTGCCTTCAGGGACTGTGGGAAAAACGCATGTAACTAAATGGGCCGTATTGTAAACAAGTCAATTGTTCGTTGAAAAGCCTCATTATACATTTTGCTGGAGCAGTCTGCCGGAGGATCTGCACATGGTTTAGCCCTGCACTGTCTGCTGCCTTCAGGGACTGCAGGAAAAACGTATTTAACACAATTAATTATTGGAAATACGTCAATTGAATATGCAATTTTAACAAGTTTGCTGAAAAAACGTTATTATATACACGTTGCTGGAGCAGTCTGCCGGAGGACTTTGGAGTATTGATGCTTTTAAACATTAACTGAAACCACATCTATTCAACAGAAGAATACAGAATAGGATTAGGGCCACATGAGTAATAAATACTGAGGAAGAAGGTTTTTGTCATTATGCACTTTGCCAAAATAAGGGGGCAGATTATATACGCTTTTTAATCTTTCTGCTCATTTTCATTCAAGATTTGAGATTTTATGTCAGTATTTAATTGTTTGGACTGGTCTATGAATGAAATAAACTTGTATAAATAAATAAAAATAGGACATACACAGTAGGTAAACCACATTGGGCTTGATTGCAAACAAGTCAACAGAATAAAGTGGTTTTTGTTTTTTTATATTATTTTGCTGGAATAGTCTGCCAGTGGATCTGAGAGGATCTGAAAGTATTTATGCTTTTAAACACAAACTAAAAACTATATATTCTACTAAAGAGTATGGAAGATTAGGGCCAGATGTGATAAATAAATAATGAGAGGAGGAAGATTTTCTGTCATTGTGCACTTTGAGAAAAAGGAAGAAATGTAGAGAAAAAAGTGGACAATAAAATTGAAATACGATTTTGAGACTTAAGTCGAAACTTTTGTATTTGAACCTATTTCTCATCATTTAATTTATACTTAATATGTCAAAAAACAGAACAAACTACTTTTATTATCATTTCACACATTCACTTGGTCGAAAATGTAATAAAACATATTTATTAAATTCCTGGACAGTTTCTCCTCTCGACACTGCAACTTCTTAAAGTTGATGTAAATCAGCATTTAAACTTTGCATGAGCAGTAAAATAAAAGTTGACTAACAAACAGCGCCTCCTTGGGACAAAATCAAACACTCTACAACTGAGTACTGTAACTTGTACAACAGAACTGAAAGGCCTCAATGCATATTGACTTCCAAAAATGTATAACACAGGAGGAGAATAGAGGACAGTATGTTTTACCATCACGCTACCAAAGTTGTTCTATTAATGTATTAAAACGATTCGTATCATCCCCTGTAAGTCACACAATTTTAGTTTCTAATTTACAAGGAAAAACACAAGATATTAATTTACAACATTCACAAAGACATGGTGATTGACATGTGATGACCTCGTCCGGCCAAACTGAGCACACAGGTCCTTTTTGGGAAGGGCTTTGTCTTCAGTTCTTCCAAGTATGTGGAAAATGGAAATATTGATGATGTAAATAATGTTTTGATTGATATTTAAAACTTTGTAAATACAACATTGTGTGATTTAATGGGTTTTTTTTTTTTAAAAATTATACTTATTGAATGTCGGCTCTGTCTTGACTGGCTTGGAAACGAGACTGGTTTGCCCTCAGTAGTCCTCGCCTGTTCCCACTCTGCTTTCTCATTGAAATGCTTTGCATACAGGCTCAGCCTATAAAAAGATCAGGCTGTACTTAGTACTATTAAGCACTTAAAGGCAGAAATTTGTCGGACATATTTGTAAAAATTAAAAATAGGGAAACAAGTGGGGGCGAAAAAAAGAAAATAGTTTTTACTTAAATTTGCTGCTTGTGCAACTTTAAAAACAAAACCACACTAAAGATCATGATGTTAGACTGAACATCAGCACCTCTGGGATTCTTTTCTACAACCAAATCACAGAAATGTTGATATTCAGTCCAACATCACGACCTCATGGTTGGTGTTGATTCATTAGAGGATGTCAGTCATTATAGTTTTAAAGGGAGTGGTTACCGATGCAACTTTGCCTTTCTGTTTCAGATCCTGAGGCGTGGTCCCTTGATCCTTCTTCCATTTGTGATTCATAGCAGATTAGAGATACACCCTTGAATGCCTCCTGAAGATGTCACATAGATTTATGGCTTTGCAGATCCGACAACAAAGCAGAGCAAATGCTATTAGCTTGTTTTAATGTGTGTGCCTAAATCAAATTATTTTCCTCTTGTGTAAAACTTTGACATTATAAAATACCTTTTCTAGTTCAAGGATGCTGCAGACTTCTGCCAGTTTCCAACAGGTGTGCTGCCTCGGATCAGCTGGCTCTGCCATCTTCTTGTATACTGGCAGTTGGGGCATAGTTGAGTGAAGGTCACATAGGTCCCGGGTTTCTGCTGCTGCACGTCACAGTGTTGTTTGCACAATGGACAGGTCTGGAAGAGCTCTCTGAGGCAGCTCTCAAGGACCCTGTATTTAGGCTCATTGTGACGAGTCGTAGATGTTATCTCACTATGAGCGGGTCGGAAAAAAATCATGAGCAAAATATAAGATTCAGTAAATTTCACTATCGACATCTCTTACCTCACTTGCGATGGTTCTGTCAAAGACTCCCCTGGCTGACATGTGGACTTGGGTGTCATGCTCTCCTCCTTCTCCTCAAAACAATCTAGGCAAGGCCTCTTGGCAGGTCTAGCACCAGGTACAGAAGCAGAACCCTTTGCTGGTCTGGAGGATGGTGGAAACCCTAAGACTCGAGGGGTGGTCTTTGTGCCAACACTGAAATGGGAAACTGTGGCCTGAGTACCTGATTAAGCACAAAAACATGACAGCTTTTAGTTTGTGATGATGGGATGCAAATCAAAATATTACAGTCTCAGAAATTAATCCATACAGCATACACTCCATTGTGGTCAATATTACATACAGACCTTTACTCCTCACATGCTTCAGCTTCCTATATGACAGCTGGGTCCCGATGGAGCTTGTATATGAAGGGTGGGGAACCTGTGTGCCTACAGATACCATCTTCTTGGTGACCTGCGTTGCGACATTGACTCTAAGTGCCCGGGCAGTTCGGTGAACACTGGCAGCGAGAGGCCGTCGCAAAGTCCTCTGTCAAAGAAAAGACAATAAAAAATAACTTTAGTCTTCAGAATTATGGTGGATTATTTTAGCCTACTGGATTTGAGACAGAGTAGGGAGGGTCATCCCTTCAACATCCTAGGGAAAAAAATGCAGCTCCAGAATATTTGGATTTGGAAGTGGGTATATACCCTATGGAGGCTGAAAGATAAGTCTCTGTATACCTGCTGCACTACACCACTGATGTCACACAGCCTGTTGGAGTTACCTGACACAGCTAGCCAGTCATGAAACATGCAAGAAAGTTTGTGTTTTTACAGAAACCGTACAGTTCCTTATGACACGTTTATGGGGCGCCGATTGTAAAGTTACGCACACTATAAATAACAACAACATTTCTCCACATTTAGCCCTAAAAAAAATCACTTTTTATTCACATTTAGAGAAATATTTGTGAACTTTGTCATATTTACTTTTGTGAATAAAAATGTAAGATAATTTAATTGGCAAATAAAAATATTTAATATTATATCTAAATGTTGAATGTTTTATCTAAATGTTAAATGTTATATATAAATGTTAAAAATACATGTCCTAATTCTAAATATTTAGCTACGTTTCTAAACATTTAGTTTACATTCTAAATATTTAGCTAAGATTGTAAATATTTATAATCAAAGCTAAATATATAGAATATAAACTAAATATTTAGCAACGACTTCTAAATATTTAGAAATCAAAGCTCAATATTTAGAGTCTTAGAGTCTGTGTGTCATCCACTAATACTGTACCAGGAGCGGGGACCAAAGTCCAGTGTGTCCAAATCTGAGTCATGAAAGCTCTGTCTCACATTTTCAATTCCTTTTTCACATATGTCATTTCTCCTACTTTCCTTTGAATCTTGTCGTACATCTGTCCTTTTCCATCTTCTTCCCATTGCTCCCGCCACCTTTCCTTCAACCTTTGTCTGTCCTCAGCTTTGCTCTACGTTGTCAGGTTCTGGCCAAATCTCTAAAGGTTCTCGTAACATCTCGCTCAGAGCAGCAGGAAGCCACGTCCGGGGATTATACCAGCATCTGTGTAATTTGTGTTTGAAAACTTTCCCAGGGTTAAGTATGGACATCCAAAATTGTAAGATTTTCTGTATGAATACAAATACGGATCGTTGTAATAGATCTACTTTAATGTCAGTTAATGCATGAAATTTATCTGAAACAATTTAATTTGCCAAATCATGATTAAGATGAAGAATTTATTTCCTTCACTAAATCTTGTTAAAAAAATAGTGTACAAACACTTTGCACACTTTTGTGACTTATGATAAATAGGATAATTATAGTTTCACTTCATAAAATACTTACAGGATTATTAGTAAAACAGGCTCTAGACAAGAATATAAGCCACCTGATGTCAGTAAATCCTCGACATCGTCTTTTAAAAGTCTACAAGATCATCAATCATGCAGCTTCTTCAATGGTCTGACCAAATGAACTGGTAATCTGTAAATAGAAACAGTGATGGACACACAAAATAAGTGATAATTGGGCTCATTTTGAAAGGTAAAATTAAAGAGTTGGTGGCTAAATTATGATTTTGTGCGGGACAGGACAAACGGCTGATGTGATTTTTACGTCTGGGATCCAAGAAATGTGGGAACCACAGCGATCTAAAAACTTAGTCCCAAGCAGAAGGAGAGACATTTGGACCACCTTCTGCTTTGAAGCTCACAGTGTCAAAACCGTTGCTCTGTTTGACCAAAAAAAACGAATCAGTGGAAGAGGACAAGTGTCCCTACATTTTGAGGGTAAATTCAGGTGTGTGGAGTGAAAATTGTGCAAAAACTGCAAATTGTTTGGGAGATTTTGAAACTATCTCAAAACTTTGTCACCACTCTAACCCTGAACATTCCACCACATACACACCCATTATAAAAGGGTGAAAACAGCTAAAAAAAAAACTTCATGAAACAGTTGGAGTTACAGTTTAAAAAGTAAACAAGATAGCAAGAAAAGTACATAAAAAAAAGTTTGTGAACATTTTAAAGCAAAAATGAAGTCTCTCGGCGGAACAGAGCCAAAGTTATAAGGATAAGAAGAAGGTTGAAAAGTTTAAAAGTTTCCCTTTAAACCTGTTTAAAGAACACAGCCTTTATCTTTCTTCTAACTAAACTCTGTCTGATGTACGTCGCTTTGGACAAAAGCGTCTGCATCAAATGAATTGTAGAATAAACTCTGAGACTTAGGCGGGACGTTTTGAGCACTGATTGTGAGGGGGTTGACAGTCAAAGAGTGGATTGATAAAGCCTGACTCCTCCCCTCATCGTCATCCATCCTCTGCCAGCAGCGATCTGAAGGTCTTCAGCTCTCTGATGCTCGTTGAAATCCTTCAAGAAGAAAAAGGCTACGTCAAGAGAGGGTGTACACATGTTTAATATGAATTAAACATTAATTAGAAAGTCCCCCCTTCCTCCCCCAAATATATTCTGAATGCCATTAACTCCAGTTTGTTTGAGGATATAAGGAATGGAAACTGGAGTTTTTCATTACATCCTCAAATGATCCTGTTTCCCATTTCCTGTTTCCTCATATGGGGAAGATACATTTTGGGTTAATATTTGTGCCCTAGGTTATAATATATTAAAGTAGTAAAAGTGCTCCAGACAAACACAACCCTGTCTTTGTCTGCTCAGTTTGTGGAGTTAACTCATAGCAGGGAAGGTGCTCTGAGCTGCTTTGAAAATCAAAAATACTTATATTCACAGATATGATGCTGGCAGACTCTCTTACCGTCCGAAGGCGTTGAGCAGCGAGACTATCTCCTGTCGGCTGAGCTGAAATCTGGGTCGCTGGTCGCTGGACGAGGGCAGAGCTTCAATCTGTCGCTCTGAAAACAAAATCTTCAGTGATGTTCCTAATCCCTGAGTCTGATAATGACAGAGGGAGAGAGAGAGAGGACAAGAGAGGAAAACAAGGCAGATGATAACAATGATGTTGTAATATAGAGCACATATAATAGTGTCATTGCACCATTTACTAGTTTTTTTTTTTTATGTACTTTTATTTCAAAACGTATCTGCTATAAACTATGAATTTAAGTTAAGACACACCTGATATTTATAGTTCAATAAAGTGCTTGATCAAATGTATTTAGTTAAATTCCAACACTGTACAGAAAACTCAAGTGTCTCTGATATATAATTAAAGGAGCAATATGTAACTCTGACACCTAGTGTTTAAAATGGGTACTGCAGTCTAAATTGAAAACATTGTGGAGAGCTGTCCAAACAAATCCAGAGCATTCAGGAGCAGAATCTAAAGTTAGAAGGAGGACATACTGGCTGCTGCATTGTTGTCAGAGAAGCCAGAACTTCAACATAGCATGTTTCCTTAATGTCTGATCAGACATTCAGTAGATATCTTACATATTGCTCCTTTAATGTCACTGTTTTAGAAATGTTTCTGACCTGAAGTTTCCCCCACAGTCGACATTTGAAGCAACCCACACAGTCCATGATCCGGGAGATGTTGAGGAACGCCAGTCTGATGTCCTCCTGACATAAACACAGCACAGGAAACACGCTACTTTAATGTACTTTAATGTGTGTGTTTTGTGCTATTGTGGTCTGGGTTTTTGTTCCCGTTTCATCTCGCTCTCTTTATTTCTCTCTCTCCTCTTCTGCAAATTAGAGCTGCCACAACTCTATACTGCAGCTGATGATTGAGTTCACCTGTCTAAAGTCAGCAATCAAGACCTACAGTATGAAAAGCGGGAGTGAAAGTGAGCGGTTGCAAAACCGTCATTTGTGATCGTGTGTGGAGGATCATGAGTCTTGATCAAGTCTTAGCTTAAGTTATGCAGCATTCATGTGCTGCTCGGCGGGTCTGTCTTTCTATTTCTATAATTTATAGGTTGAAGAGTCTTGAAGGCTTGCTGACCTTCAGTTTGGCTGCTTCCTTTTCATCTCCAGTAAACAGAGACGTCTCATCAAAGTGCAGTGGGAAAGATCTGGAGAGAGAAGAAAGGTTTCAGCATTCAGGTAACACAATGAATATGACAGTGACACCCATGAACCATCAGGCCTTCTGGTTCTTGTGTTTGTATTTCGCGTCGGACCGACCTGGCCAGCTGCAGGATGTGCAGCAGCAGCTCTTTGTGTCTCTGGTCCTCCTCAGCTCTGCCGGTGTACAGCTGAAAAGACGGCTGCTGGAAGAACGGCAGAGCTTTGGCCAGAGCTCTCAACTCGATCAGGTACAGGAAGTAGAGGTTACGCAGCCTCTTTGGCCCCTCGCCGGCCGTCAGCTCTGAATCGAAACGCCCTCTGAACTCTGACACGTTGTGACCCCACGTCTTCTGGAACCAGCTGTCTGAGGGGAAGAAGGGAATAACTGCTCAGCTGAGGAATAACAGTGATGGCTGTGTTTCCACTTGAGTGTTACCTCCGGTGTCTGTGTCCCGTCTTTTGGCAGCGAGATGTTTTACACTCTCTGACCTTCTGTGTGTGTTGCAGGCTTGCCACACCCTTCTGCTACAAGTCTGCCTCACCTTGTCGCCTGCTCATACCAAAACCAGATGGCGCTTCTCGTTTTTGTACCAACATTCAGAAAGTTAATTAGAATCTATTCGATTGGATTAGAAGCCTTTTCCCTAAAACCGGCTCCCTTAACGTTGGGGTCCCAACCCAAATGGGATCGCATGGAATTCAAAGGGGGTCCTCTGAAATATCTAATTATAGATCAAAGTAAAAAATATATTGAAGCATTCTGCCTTAATTAAGCTACAAGACGTTATCCATACTTGCAGTATCTGTGTCTGTCTCTCATTTCCAGCCTTGTAAATACAAGCTCACCCGGCTGCACATTACATTGAGAAAAATAAAATCCTCCCTTTACGCACAGATCTCCTCCTCCTACTTTCAACACAATAAAAAAAAAAAAATCACGTGATTGAAATTGTAATTGTTTTAGCACAAAGCTGGAAGTGTTTTTGTCTGGAGTCCCAAGACTTTTGTGAAGTCGAAGCCAAAACAGGTTGGGAATCACTGTCCTAAAAGAGAGCCTGACTTTTTACGAGTGACTGAATAAATGTGAATAGTGCAGATCTGTACAGGCGTTTAGTGTGGCTCACCATCCAGGAGGTATCGGGCGCTCAGGTGTATGTTGATGCTGGCATGGAGGCCAGAGATGAGCCTGTAGAAAGCCCTTTTCTCCACACACTGACCTGACACACACACACACACACACACACACACACACACACACACACAAACAGAGAATCATTAAAAACTGTAAAACAGTTTAAAGTTTGTCCTTGAATCTTTAGCTGAAATGTTGACTCACCTTCCAACCATCTGTGGAAGGTCTTAGCTGTAATTATGAAAGTAAACGCTTTAGTTAATGGACACCGATTAAAAAGAGTGTAAACTGTGTTGAGGAGTAAAGGTTCATATATCACACCTTCACTTCCAGGGCTGCTATAGAATGAGTTGGAAATCAGGGGTCTCTTGATGGTAAAGGGTCTGTGAGGGGGGGGGGGGTTTAAAAAAAAAGATCCTTTTCAGTGACTGATTCACACAAACACAAAATGACTGAGTGAAGAAACATTGTCTCATTGTTCTCTTTTTGCTCCAGTTTACTTGAAACAGTTCTCCTCGTAGATGCTGTTCCAGATCCTCCACGCCTCTGGTCCTTTGTAGCCCGTGAAGCGCTCTGGGTTCAGCAGCAGGTCCACGTACTGGGAATCAGGCGACCCCTCGTCTGAAAACGTCAACCCACTTTAGTCAGCTTTAAATCACTAAGGCTTCACAAAATTGGAAACAACTACAGTTGGATTGTTTATATTTGGATTTGAAAAAATACAGAAAATCAAACTAGAAAAGCAAAAAATGCACAATATGTGCTTACATTGTTCAATATTTTAATAACTGAACAAATATAAACGTGTTCAATAACCTACAGCTGCCGTGACAATCGGCTGCAATCTTTTCGCAATACCTGTGTTTGCAACATTTCACTGCTGAAGCCAAATAAATAACACACACACTTTATTCTTAACCACAAAATGATCTTAAATGAATCTGTAGTGTAGCTCGTAACTAGCTCAAGTTATTCAGGGTTAAGTGTCTTACCCAAGGACACATCGGACTGAGCAACGATCGACTCTACCACTGAGCCACAGCCAAAGTAAAAACTTTAAAACATAACTGATTTGCCTTAAAAAAAAAGCTACCCTACACCCTAACATGACCTACATATATATGTTATCCTCGAGTTTGTTTTTTATAATAACACAAAATTTAGCGTTGTGCTCCCCTTGAAAAATCCTATTTCATGTTTCAATTATGATCCCCGCTAAATGTGGAGATCTCAATCATCTGACCATAAATGTTCCACACGTGATGAACTTTTTCATGCATTTAATAAAATGTTTTTTTTAAACGCATCAGTCCTTTCCTCAGCTGCTGGGTTTATTATTTACCTTCTAGCACACAGAAGCGCTCGGCCTCGTCATCATGTTTGCTCCAGTTCAGCAGAGCCTCTCTGGTCTCCTCACTACAAACCAAAACACAGACGTTTGTGAGTCAGCTCATCCCCGTCCAGAGCTCATCGCTCACACTGGACATTTAAACTCACAGCTGTGTCAAAAAAAAAAGAAGAAATTGATTTCTTTGATGCTTATAATCATTTCATTTTTTCATAGTTGTGTACATTATTGTAGTAACAACTTACAACTTGTACTTGTATCTGAGCATTTATGCCTTTTGGTATTGCTATTTTTCCTCCTCCTCCTCCTCTAATGTATTACCTTCTAAAATATACTATGGGAGGTAGAGCCTTCGGTTATCAGGCCCCTCCCCCTTAGAATCATCTACCAGTCAGGGTCCAGGAGGCAGACACACTCTGTGCTTTTAAGAATAAACCTTCCTTTTTGATAAATCTAAAAACAGCTCCTAGTTCTGCTGCTATAGGCTTAGACTACCGGGGGAACTGGCACCTTGAGCTCCTACCTCTCCCTCTCCTGCAGGTCACTATCTGTTTATCTTCATGTACTATTCAAGTTACTAAGCACATGTTGTCCTGGCAGCTCCTGAGCTCTCTTGTCTTGTAAGTTCCTCTGGATGGTTGGACTCACCTTAAAGAGACATCTACAGCTCCGAGACGTCCCGCCTGCTCACATTCACCCCGCTGCTCATTTGATTCTGCTGGATACTGAACGCACACACATAAACATACATTAATCACATCTTCATTATCTCTCAGGAGAGTGTTGTCTCTGCACTACTGACACATTTTGCAGTTGTTTTTTGTTTTGTTTTGAGGAAGAAGGTAGACCCGCACACTTTGCCACAGAAAGTTTTAATCAATCTTTCGTCACCTGAATTGCAACGTTGAGATTGTGATCAATTAAAACTTTTTATTACATTTGAAAAAGTTAGTGAGCCTATCTTCCTCCTCAGTCTGCTGTTTTCAAAAATCAAATTCAAATTCAAATTCAAAAAACTTGATTTGTCCACTGATGGACAATTCAAAGGCACATTGAGCAGTAGCATAACGACAGTGAAAGGTAGGCTAAAAAATGTGAACTAAAACATCCTGCTGTCGGCCTCATTACCCCTCCGAGTACATGAAGTCGTCAAATCCTCAAACACTTTGCACATTTATTTCTAAATTCTTAAATAAATAATTGTTCATTCTCAATGAAGTCTCTCCTGATTGAACTGTTATACTGTGAGGAATTAAAACAGAAATCAAAGAGGTTTCGTTCATGGACCTCTGTGACTGCAGAGCGCGCACACACACGTGATCCTAAAACACTCACCTTGTGGAGTGAGGACGATCTGATTCCTTCTGGCACGTCGTTCTGTGAGCAGACAGTTTACGTCAGTCTGAGGGGAATAAACGTGAGTCGCACTGTGCTGCAAAGTAGTTGCACTTCATTTGAGTATTTCCATTTACCCCACGACAACTTGCAGGAAAACGTTGTGTGTGTGATTCGGGCCTGTGTGTATCTAAACATCATTAAACCAAATCTCCCTCAGGGATTAAAAAAAGAATGTAAAATTCAAGAAGAAGATGCAGACTCACAGGCTTGCAGGGCTTCACAGCACAGTCCTTCAGACCGCAGTGACTGCTGACCGTCCAGAACGGACACGGCTTGTTCAGGTTCACCTGCAGATGATCAGGTAGAACAACGGGGGTCTTCAGGCCGCTCCCTCCCACCAGACATCCATAATATTGACTCTCTCTCCATTTTGAAATCTCATCTCAAAACACATCTCTTTAGACGGTCATATTCTGCTTGATCATTCTCCACCCTCTCTGTCTCATAAATCCTCCACACAATGATTTTACACATCCTGTAAATCTGTCATTTTAATGTTAATTCTATTGATGTATGGTTGTTTTTATTTCTGCTCTGTCAGGTGACCTTCAGTGCTTTGAAAGGCACCTTTCACTAAAATGTATTATTATTTATCATTATGACAACACCTCAGCACTAAACCTGTGTGTGTGTGTGTGTGTGTGTGTGTGTGTGTGTGTGTGTGTGTGTGTGTGTGTGTGTGTGTGTGTGTGTGTGTGTGTGTGTGTGTTTCAGTTCCCTTTACCTTGTAGAACCTGAAATAGTCAGACTCCAGAAGAGTTTGAAGTTTGGGGAAAAGCAGCTCGTTGTTGAAGCTGTCGATGGTTTCCACGTCACAGGTGCAGTCGTCCAGGTCACCTGTGACCTTTGTGAGATAGAAAACACAGACAGCTGGTCGGCCTTTAGTGTAGAGACAGTCAGCTGGCAGAGCCGCCAGTCAGGAAACAGAGAGTCAAACTGACTGATGATCTCATATCAGCTCTAACGCTCACCACTAACTTTACAGCTCTGATCTTCTCTTGAGCCTTTCGTCCATAACTCTTTCTGTTTTGCAATCATTTGGTTGGACTTGGGGAAAGTTTGGACTCATCACTGCGCCATAAAACAGCCACCATATCCTTCATTAAATGTTATCACAATAAGATGCAGCTTTTTACACTCTCATGGCCACTTTATAAGACTCTATAACCACTCATCAGCAACACACATGCATCAGTCACTTTAAAAAGACAAAGAGGACTTTTAAAATACAAATACAATTATTTTTTCACAAAGTTGGTGCCTTATATTTATTTACATGTTTAATTTCAAGTCCATGCACATGTGTTGTTGCTGTTGTTGTTTTTACTGAATGCACATCTTCATAAATACAAAATTACAACCATGACTGTATTTTATCTTATTGATATATTTGTTTATTTTTCTTTTTTAAATGTTGAATGCTTGTATTAGTCCATATAAAACATGTTTTACTGCCCTGTTTTTAAATGTGCTTTATAATAACACTGCCCTGTATTGTCTTGAGCTGTTCACATGACAGGAACACCAAAACATGCTGATTATAGAGAATATGAAGCAGATTAAACTAGTATAAAGTATGATAAAGTAGCACAGATTCAGATGTCTACAGGATATATGTCTACACAATCTAGGAGTTACAGCAGCAGTAATATGAACCCATAAACATCCTGATAGTGCGCGTCGTTTCGCTCACCTGACAGAAGCACCTGCTGTCTGCAGAGCCGGATACGAGCAGGAGGAGGAACAGGCAGACCCCCAGCTTCATAACGACCTCTTCTCTTCCCACGGACCTCCGTTTGACACCCAACTTTAGATCGCCAATAAGTGTAGAAAACGCTTCACTTCAGAAGTTTGGTGGAATCGGGGATGTGAGGTGACGTCATACTTCCTGATGTTTGACTCACCTCCTGTCCGCTACGTGGATTACGTGACTAGATGATCAGCAGCTTTAATGTTCGGATTTCTTACTTTGGTCAAAAAGAAAATGTTTGGGATTTAAAACAGACGGTGGCACAGTGCGGAGAAACCTTGTTTAGCCTATATTATTTTATTCTGTTACAAACTTTACAAAAGTATTTCTCCGGTTCTCCAACAAAACAATCCGACTGAAGCCTGCAGTGTGTCCAAATAATATTCTATTTCTAACCTCTAATGCCGCTATAAAGGACTTTAATATAATTTACAAGCTCGCAACATGAATACTTTTAAACCTTGAAACGAACAAATGTTTTCTGAACTTGACTTTTACAGAAAATTAACGTGAGTTTGTTTTCATTTTCAAAACATTGAAGTGTATAAATATGCTGATAGCCAAACTCGTATTATTATTATTATTTTTGGTTTATTTGATCAAAATGTGTTTTTGTTAAAAGGTTAATTGAGTTTAAATTAACTGTACTGTAATACCACAACTCAGCCACACGGGGGAGCTAAAGGACGCCCATTCTCTTACTTTTACCCCGTATAGGGAGTTTCTGCTAAAATAAATATAATTCAAATTTTCCCCAAGTCTCAGCCTTAAAACCTAAGTAGCCTAAGGAGAATTTTATTTGCAACTTTTTTTGCAAAGAAGTGAAATATTTTGTGATGCTGCATGAGACACTTTTTAGGAAAAATACTTGATAAAAAAATGTAGTAACTTAGAAACAAAAGTTAAAGTCTAAGGTGTGCTGTCAAAAGTATTTAGAAAATTTAAAACAAAATTCCCACGCTGTAGAAAATATTTAAAACAAATATGAACTCTTGAAAGCACATGAGACAAGGTAAGTTTTTTTTATATAGCACATTTCAGCAACGAGGTAATTCAAAGGGCTTCACACAAGACATGCAAAGGATCACAACAATGGGAAAAATATATATTATATAGAAAATGTTTATTACAAAACAACCATTAACAATCTCAGAGAAAGTGAAATATGAAATAAGATCCAGGGGTGCAGATGGCCTAGCGGTACCCCATGTACGGAGGCTGTGGTCCTCCAAGCCCGTGTTTGGGTTTGAGCCCGGCCTGTTCCTACTCTATCCACTCTCCAGTAAAGGCACAAAATCTTATAATCTTTTAAATAACAAAATACATAAATAACCTCACATTTGAAATGTAAATATGTTATCTCCTAAGCTTGCCTTTCATTGTTCTACAACTCTGAAGTCTCCAGTCCTTCACTTTACAACTTTATCATCTGTCTCTTCATAGATAGTAGATTTCTCATGGATCCTAGAAACTCAAACTACAGATGTGTTGTGACATATATAAATGAAATTGATAGCCTGGATTGGATTATAAGTATCAGGAATCTAACTCGTCTTGTTTGTATTCTTTTACTCTTCAGTTTTATCTGACAAGATGTTGACTTAAAAGGTTTCGTTTTCCTAAATGTTCTTATAGTTTCGTCGTCAGTCGCCCCCTCCTCTCTCTCTCTCTCTTTTTCTCTCTTTCTCTCCCTCTATTTTGGTGCTTCCTCGCGCTGCCAAGCCCCTGACGTAATGCTCCGCTGTTAATGATTAGCATGTGGAAACGGGCAGCGCGACCCTCCTTTTGTCAAAGCTCACGACACTCAGCCGGAAACGGAATGCTGCTGTCTTAAAAGTAAAAGCAGAAATTTACAAATCGTATAAGGTGCGTTAACATAACTTTTTTGATGCAACTATAAAAACACAATACTCTCTGATAGTAGGCTATACATAATTCAAGGGATATACCAATATATTCTGTCTTTGCAAAATATAAAGTATTTATTGACGTAGGCCTACAATAAATAGGAAATGCTACAAATTGACTGTTTTCAATTTTCAGCAAAACCATACAATCATGTTTTTTTATACATAGTTGCATGGTGAAAATTAGGATATTTTATTTGAATTGCACTGTCCGACTTAGGAGCACACGTTTTTTTTTCTAGACAGCATAAAAAAACACAGATCTTTTTTGTTGTCGTCGTTTTGACTTATAATTTATTGCTGTCACTTGTAATTCATTACACTATGCCCCTTGTTAGATCAGTGACACAAGTCTGAATAAGAATAATCTTAAAGTGGAAAATAAATATCTGGACCTGGAAAAAAAAAAAAGATTTGACAGGAGGTCTGCCTGGTTTTAGTATAACGGTATTTCACTCCCATGTATGCTGCGAGTATATTATGGATGTGACAATACATTTCAATCTTGAGGTCCAAATCTTGTAACACAAATTCTGCAGGTAAAAAGAAAAAAGTCAAATATCAAATTATCTTTCATATTGAAAATTGAAAAACAATTAACTTATTAAGTTCCAGTTTTTAATTAGAATTTATTTTCATTGTTTTCAATCAAAACTTTTGGCTGGATCCGGTTCGTGGCTGCTTTATTTTGAAAGTTAGCAACAGGAAGTTACGTCCTACTTACTGTCCAGCTTCACCGTGCCGTTTTAGACCAGAGCAGCCAAGCAAGCAACCCGTCTGCAGGAGAGAGAGAGAGAGAGAGAGAGAGAGAGAGAGAGAGAGAGAGAGAGAGAGAGAGAGAGGAAAAGTTAGTCAAGATGGCAAATCTCACAGACCCGCAGTGAAGGGGCACCGCTCCCCGAAAACAAAAAGAAGCTGAGCCTGACGCCCGACCTGAAACAAACCAACGATGCGAACTGCTCCGGGAGGTAAGAACCGCCAACTTAAGCCCAACCGTTTCTATGACAATGGAAACATTGAAACAGAAGTTTACTCACCCTGCTTTATTCGTGTTTTTTTTTGCTTGTGTTCGGTCTCTTTTGGGGTATTTCTTGAACAAAAACTGTAGACTTTGTGCTGATATCCCACAGCCGGCTAACGAACCCCTTTATGTGTTATTAGTAACGGTTTCTACGTCGTGTTGGCAACGGTTGTTAGGGACGGTAACTATACTGGCTTTAACTTACAGTGTTAAAGTTACAGCACTACGTTTTTTGGAGGAATTAAAATGTCAAGTAAAGGTTAGATTAATTCGTTTTTCTTTGTACAAACTTGCTTACACACACACACACACACACACACACACACACACACACACATCCGCCTACAGTCATTCCCTGTGTGCTGATGAAGCAAAGTGACAGTTTTAGACACCGGGAGTCTGCTCCTAGCTTCCTAGCTTCACTCGGTTAAAAAAGAAACTCACTTCCACAGCCATTTTAACCGGGTCAGAATATAGAAGTTTTTGTAAGAGGTAACGTGTCATTAAATTAAAGGAGTGAAGTCTGAACAGCTCACAGCCCCTGCCAAAAGGACCGCCGCCGTCGATAACCCGGCGTCCTTTCTGTGGAAAATTCCGGGATGCAGCGCTAGTAGCACCGACAGCTGTATTTTTAGGAATGGGTGGATACCAAAAACGAAATTTATTTATTTTTGTCCCGGTGGTGAATGCCACAAGCCTATGCGCATAGGCAGCAGCGAGGAGGCGACCTATAAATGCATGTATGAGTTTTTGAAGGCTGTCTCCCCCCCCCCCCCCCCCCCCTCCATTGCAGCAGCACAAAGTCTGCAGAGCTGAAGCAACAGGGAGACTGTCGCATTTCCAGCGAGGCTGTCTTTCCTACTGCGCCGTAAAAAAAAAAGTCTGAAAGATATGAAGAGAGATGTGCAGTATTATAGCTGCAGAGAGCATTGTCTGTTCAACCTTATTTTTTTTTTTCCACCCTCCCCTAACTTCTAACATCCTCTTGCAGGCTTAAGAGGGATTCCCTGAAGAAAAATGCCAGTGAGGCTGAAGCTGATGTGACACAGAGTGTGCTGGAAGAAGGCTGACTCATCAAATATCAATCCCTCTGGGACTTAGCAGCCGAGAACAGTTCATATCAACTAATGCCGAGCTAGAAGGGCACCCCACCCCCCCCCCACCCCCCACACCCCTTAACAACGGAGATTATCAAATAGAAGAAGACGTGCTGAAACCCCACCAGCAGGAATATACCCTGAAAACAGCTGCGGGTGAAACAAATTTTGACCTGCTGTCCCTGCTGCAAAGAAAGCTAAGAATGGCATCACAGTGCTTCAGCTGAAACCTCTGCTTGATTCCCCCCATATAGAAACATCAACCATCAGCCAGAAGAACACAGCCATCCTCCCATAAGATTTACCCAAACCATCTTTGTAAAGTCTCTCTGAGTCACTCTCCACACCTCTTAGCCCAGCCCGCCACCAACACAGTCAGTCTGCCTACAATCCCGCCTCGCAGACCATGATGTTTCGCGATCAGGTGGGCGTGCTTGCGAGCTGGTTCAAGGGATGGAATGAGTGTGAGCAGACGGTGGCTCTGCTGTCCCTGCTGAAGAGAGTGAGCCGGACCCAGGCCCGCTTCCTGCAGCTCTGTCTGGAGCATTCCCTTGCTGAGTGCACCGAACTGCAGGTCCTGGAAGGAGAGGCCAACAGCCCAGGTAAGACGGCTGCACTGACACTGTTGAGTGCAACAACTCTTTCTTTCAGCAGCAGTTGTTTCTAGAGCCAAACCGATGTGAGGTTTTTGAGTCTGACAGTTATTCCTTTACCAGAAGCGAAAAATTCTCCACACCTATATGGCGTCTGATAAAGTGAATTTTAAACTGAAATGAAAATAGCCCTTTTCTACTCAGATTGTGCATCAATAAGACTTTGAAAATATACTCAAAAGGCTGCTTTATTAAACACATTACTTTACTAAAGAAACTGGACTAACTATGTGATGTAAAAATTCCTAAATTCCCAAATAATTTTTTAAACTGTAACTCAATTGAGTTTAAGCTTTATTGGAATTAATACTTTTACTGTTTGTATACATTATTTAAAAAAGTGGTCATATCAGCAGATATTAGCTAATGCTCATATTGTTACCTGTGGAGAGCCATTATTGGCCGGACACTACCACCTGACAGATACATCTGTCGGACTGTAATTTTATCAGAAGATATAGTAGTTGTCATCATTCTTGTTTTCGAGGCAAACATCATCCAATAATTTATGTCCTCATTTAATTATTTAAGATTGTATCTTTTTTTTAGCTTTCAAGGACTTGTTTTCGAAAGGCACTGAAGTCTCTGACCCTGGAACAAACACACAGGAGAGCACACACATACAGGCTCCTCGCTAGCATTCAAATACATTTCCTGTTCTGAACATTCCTGAGGATCCATCGAGAGAAATAAATAGCTGAATCACTGCTGTTATGAAACTGCTCAAAGCATAGCCAGTCGGTATGTGTATGTGGAAGGACACTGGGGTTGTGTGTAGTGTTAACTCAGCTGGCACTGTTGCTGGCTGGAGACATCAGTCAGTCAGTCAGTCAGTCAGTGTGCCAGCCTATAGTGCTGTATCGCTCCCTGGGTTGGTATTGCGCCAAGGCACCCAAGGGGGGTTCTAGCTGGGTTTTGTTGCATCAGACTGCAGCGTGGCCATGGAAACAAAAACCCTGGCAACCAACTGGGCTCATGAAAAATAGAAAGAAGTGCTGCTGCTGGAGAGCATGCGTCTGTGTGTACCTATGGCAACATCTGCATTCAGCAACACATCTGATGGCTTACACTGGACTGACATAATGGCCCTGCCCTGCAGAGACACTCACACACATAACCTTTAAGTTTCCATCAGTTTTAACAATGGGTAGTGGCAGCAGTTAATGCTAGCTGCTCTTTGTTATTGTTTTATATAAAGCTTGAGACATCAAAGCACACTACATGAAGTTTCCTCAGTCGACCCTCCCAACGTCAGGTTGGTTCAGACTGTCAGAGATCAAAGCAGATTGATGACATGGGGATGCGGTTGGGGGGGCGGGGGTGATGTCATCTTACAGCTCAACAAAAGTTTTTTTTTCTCATTTGTTGAAGTTTCAGAATACAGTGCATCATGTGTGAGTCAAAAGCCATTTTCACATATGCACTCCGGATAATATTGCAGGAGGACCGCTCCGGAGATTCTCCCGACCTAGCCGTTCACATATTGCTCCTCACAGCGGTGGACTTTCCCTGTCAGAGGGGAGGGGGGTTGGGGATTTCTTGAGGTAAGACGTGACGTAAATAAACAACACGGAAGTAGCGGCCGAAGCAACAGAGTCCGCTACACGACGTTATAATGAGAATATTAGCCTTTATATCAATGCTATGTGTAATCCAATGGAATGACAACATCCACAAAAGAGAGAAGAACAACATACTGACGAACAGAAAACATAATGCAGACGTTTAATTACGTGCACGGACATCGTAGTGGAGTCACTGTCTTGTTTTAATCGTACACTCTTTATGAATCGTTTTATTTCCCTGCTAGAAAGACTCTGATTTATGCTCTGGGTGGAAAAGAGACTTGATATGAATCAGACTTTTGATGAAAAGGGGCTAGTCTTTGGGGAATGTCTTTGTGACATGACTTAGCAGAAATGTTTGTGAGTCTTTTTTTCTTTTTTTTTTGCTGTGGTGGGAATTTAGCGATTCAAAACGGTCACTTTTAAATCCAAACTGTGTTCAGTGAAGCACGAAACAGTAACTCCTGAAACCCATATCACGGTATAATGCCACACCTGCCTTGTGATAACAGTAGGGATGTAAAGATGAATTGTAAAATTGTGATAAATCAATTCAAAGGTGTCAAGATTCACATCAGTACTCTGAAAATTGAATCGCAATAATATGGTGAGAATCAGCAGCTGTAGAGCAAGATTTAGAAATTGAGGACGCACCGCTGTCTTTTAAATCGGAGGTGTGGAAGCATTTTGGATTCCCTGAGACAGAAAATGAAAGAGCTGTGTGCAAATATTACAAGAAGACAGAGAACTACACAAAGAGCACAACCAACATGATGCAGCATTTAATCCACACCACAATGAGGAGCTCCAATCACCTCCCCTTGTAGAGAGAAAAGAAACATGAAAAGGCCAAACCACACTGACAAGCAGGTTTACAGCCCCTTAAGGAGTCTTTTTCACTCGTCGTTTGTCTACAGTCTCACTTTGTAAAATAAATTGTGAGAGAATTGTATCGTGGACCCAGTATCATGAATCATGTCGTGAGTTGAGTGAATGGTTACATCCCTAGATTACAGCTTTGTTTGAACTGAGCCTGTATAAAAATAAAAACAATCGCAAAAATCATGAAACAATGTCAAAGTGTCTGAAAGAGGCCAGTGTTTATGTATCAGTCAGCATATTCTGTGACCTACTTTTCTTTCAAATGATGAATCAAATTCCCTTTAAAGATCCAGTGTCATACATCGTTCTAGATCAGTTTAGGGCTTTTGTTATTTTAACTTTGTGCAGTCAGACTGAGGCAGTGTTGGGTATTTTGCGTAACATAATGAGAAACTAGATCCTTAGGAAATTCCCTGCTTAGGCGTTTTACCTCTTGACGCACTGATGATGATCTGCTCTGTGTTTGTCATCAGGTCAGGGATTGACCATGTGTGCTAACCTTGAGGTTTCCAATCACATTGTAAAATCTTTGTTCCAGAGAAGTCCCTTTTTTATAGTTTTGTCAATGACTCGATCAGAACAATTCAGACTCAAACTGAGACTCCTGGATTACCTTTCAATCTTTCCAAAATGTTATAATGATATGAATCTCCTGCTGTTGAAGGTCAAAATAAAGTCATCCTGGCGAACAACATAGTGCTGTGAGTTTGCAAACACTGAACGTTTTATTTTACTTTGTCAGTACTTTCTTTAATTGTCATTATAATCTTCATGTAAATGCAGTGACTGCTTACAGTACAGCTGTTGGCTTTTTGCTTATTCTGGTGACATGGATATAAGTATGCTGATGTGTAGAGCATGTTTTGATAAACTGACTTACCTTTTATTTGGAGTAGAAAGTTGATCATACTCAGATAAACTAAGAAAGAGAACTGTAAAGATCTGAGCTAGACACTAATCTTCCTGAAAACTTTTCACATATTTAATTCTTTTCTACAGTGGCTTCGTAAATGTTAAACTGTTTGCCTCAAATATTCTGTGCAACACACACTCTGTTGCTTTGGAGTCAGGCTAAAGATGATTTTAATGAGCTTCTACCTTCTGTACCTCCAGATTAAACTTTGCGCCCCACCCTGGAGTTTTCTCCCACCTGTGTCAGCTTGTGGTCACTTCACGTCTGCTGATTCAGCGTCTTAAGGTGGAAGCTGCCAGCCTGTTTCAGCTCTGTAGACTTAACACAAGAACACACCACGCTGTTGAAAAGAGGGAGATTGAAAGGTTGTCTGGTGGTTACGTGATCCCTCTGGTATGTTGTGGTAGCTCGTTTGAGAGTAGATGTGCCAGAATAAGGCTGATACATCAGTCTGCTGTTTTACAAATCGCCCAGTGCAGATTTTTTATTGATTATAGAGGATTTTCCAGTTACCACAGCTATATGAGGAGCTTGTGAAGTCCAAAAGGATGCATTTTTGTTTTTGACCACGTCACTTTGAGCATTTTGTTAGAGTTTCTTAAATATGCATTAAAATCTTCAGTGGATAACATTGTTATTCTGTTGTCTTGAAATAGTCCACAGAAAGTGTTTTATTGAAATGTGTAACAAGAATAGAAATAAACCAAAACAAAATTAACAGCATCAGTTTTCTAAGTCTAAAAATAGACATTTAAAAGTTAAAACCTTTTAGTATCTGCTTCTGATTGTTAACAATTACAGACTCAATCAGTTCACAAACAAAAGCATGAGTGTCTCACAGTTTGACTGAGCTTTTCTTAGTCCATAAGAACATAACTGAGGCATGGTGTTGGTGCGAGTGCAGAAATGAGAGCTGCAGGCTGTTAAAGGGTTAACCTGCAGCTGGAAGTCTTGGGCTGAGTGGAAAAGCGCAACTATTTGGAAAGCGCTGTACAAATGAATGGAATCCTCAGTGACCTACTTCTCCGAGCGGCTGAGAGGCTGCCTTGTTTTAGGACCCAGCAAGTGATGCGACTTTTATTTGCAAAATTCAGAAGCAAATGCATTGAATGTGGGATCGCTATCTCACTAAATGACAGGCAGAGATCCATCATACATGATTCACTTTTCATGTTATTTTTAGATTTTCATAGTAATCTTGAACCCTGTGAGTTATTTGGCCATTTTAACTATATGCTTTTACACTTCAGCATATCTGTCTGAACAGCCCACACCCCTACCAGAGAACCTCACAGATTTGAATGTTCTTCATGTGACAAGTTTCATTCCTGGTTTTGGTCTTTGATTCTTCACTGATAGCCTGCAGCTTTTCAGTAGTAGTTATTGGGGAATGTAGCTTCCTGTTTTTCCTCCCCCTTGAGAAGAACAAAACTTCTTTTGAGACAATCTCAAGAGACAATATCTGATCAACTTGACAGGACATGAGTAGGCGGCAGAGTACTGTTTTAAGGACGACACCCACACCCACACACATAGATGTACTTCCACAGACACACACACACACAGGGTGTAGTAGAGTTCGTATGGGG